CACACACACACACACACACACACACACACACACACACACCAATGCTTCATGTTTGTCTTCAGTCATTAAAAAGCAGAAGTACTGCAGTGCGTAAGAACAAGGTTCTGATCTGTTGAGGAAAACTTTTACTAAGATAGTCTGACAGATGTTACCAAAACTATTTATTTAAAACAGGAAGTCKTTCTTGTACTGTTTCAGAATATTCAAGATAATTTTTATTTATTTTACCATTATTTATCCAGGCAAATCCCATTAGATCTGAGATCTCTTTTTCAAGGGTGGTCTGGGCCTGAATGCACCTATTGTTCATGTTTTTGGGGTGTCGGGGAAACCGGAGTACCTGGAGAAAACCCACGTAAGAACAAGGTGAACATTGAAACTCTGCACAGAAAGACCCCAGGTCTGTAGAGGGGATTGAACCCACGACCTTCTTGCTGTGAGGTGATGTGTTAACCACTGAGCTGTAATAGTTCATGTTTATTTGTTTACTTCAGAAAATATAAYTTACATCAAGATCATTGTTTTCTGAACAGATGTGTGGGTAGACTTTTGGGGGGCTGAAATGTGGTCATGTTTTACAATAAAATATATTTATTTGTAGCAGGGACACACAGGTAGGTTTTATCATATCATTGTTATGATTGGATACAGAAAGTCAAGCAAAAAATAGTACAGAAAAGCAAAATTTGAGTTGCCACTGACGATGAACATCAGATTAAGTTTGCAATACAGCCACAAAAAGGGAAGTGAGATTACAAAAGGGGAAACAAGAAGTGCCAACATTTATTTGTAAAATGCAGTAAAACAAAGAAAGCAGTAATAGAGAGTTAAATATCTGAAGTTTCAGTGCTTTAAAACCAGTCCGATTCAGCTAATCTCAAAGACACGTCAGGCAGTAACACGTATGTCTGTCAGGAAGCTGATGACTCACAGTAAACTGCATCAAAACAGGAAGTAGATAAATCACACATTCAAACCCTGAAACGATCAAAAGACTGAGACTTGTTTCACAAGAGTATGGACTGCCCCTGACTCATCATCAGTCTTTAAGAAATATGACTTGTTCTTTCTGATTTTCATCTCTTTTATAAGGTCACAATACACCTTTAATGTTCCAATCCTATTTTATTGAAAAACTTTGAACAATACAAACTTGTTTTAACTGGACCACAGCCCTCTCTCTCACAGGGAGACACTGGCTGATTTTCATTAGAGGTGGGCGATACTGGGAATTCTGGTATCGATTCGATACCAAGTAAATACAGGGCCAGTATCGCCGATACCGATACTTTTAAAGCTTCATTATTTGAAAAGATCCAAAAGATCTAGGACAGAATTTCACCAAACATTGTTTGTGACAATAAAACACTTTATTATAACAATCAATATTGTTGCTTGCCAACAATAAAGCAGTAACAAACCAGTTCCTTTAAAATTAGGAAAATAAATCTTTTATACAAAAATAAAATAAATCTTCCCTCACCACTAGACATCTTTCCTAGTTCTTTCTTTGTTTCTTTTATTAAATAAAACTGTTCTTAGGAAAAACAAAAATTAAGGAATGTTCTTCCTTTCAATACAATTCAGTTCAATATCAATACCAGCGTTGGAATCGATATTATCAACATATCGATCCGCCCACCTCTAATTTTCAGACTTTGTGGAGGTAGATAAGGTCGTGGATAATATTGAGTTGTCATGCAAGAATCGGCCGATGGCCAATTACCCTAAATTAATTAAATTAGCAGGTCAATTYATGGTACACCCCAAAGATTATCAGTGGGGTTCAGGTCTGGACTCTGTGGAGCCAATCCATGAGTGAAAGTGACGCCTCGTACTTCCTGAACCACTCTGTCACAGTTTGGGCCTGATGAGACCTGATGAAACCTGATGAGACCTGATGAAACCTGATGAAACCTGATGAAATCTGATGAAACCTGATGAAACCTGATGAAACCTGATGAGACCTGATGAAACCTGATGAGACCTGATGAAACCTGATGAGACCTGATGAAACCTGATGAAACCTGATGAAACCTGATGAGACCTGATGAAACCTGATGAGACCTGATGAGACCTGGTGAAACCTGATGAGACCTGATGAAACCTGATGAGACCTGATGAGACCTGGTGAAACCTGATGAGACCTGATGAAACCTGATGAGACCTGGTGAAACCTGGCAGTGTCAGACTCTGTGAAGCTGACACTCTGTCTACTCTTAAGACTTCAGACTTTGTTTTGATAAATCCTACAATGAGGATCTGCTTGTGTTTCCTGAGTTCTGCTCTAGGCTTGGACTGATGCAGGAGAAACTGACCACATCTCCTCACTCTGCTGCTCTTTGTTTGCTGTAGTTTCCATGTTTGTGTTTGTATTAGTGTTGGGCATAGATTAAACTTTTTTAATTGTGATTAATCTCAAGATATTTTTGCAATTAATATTTTAGAAACATTGGGCCTGATGCAAGAACATGTTCGTATT